TGAGGTTCCTCTTTGGATTCTAAATCCTTGACATATCTTAATATTTTTGAATTTTTTTTTTCTAAACTATATCAACCTTGGATTCAAAAAAAGCAGAAAAAAATGCTTGTTTTATCAATAATAATTTTATTAAAAAAAAATTTTTAGTGAAAAAAATATTTGCAAAAATATACCTTAAAACTCCCGTTTTGAAGAAGACGGTATTTTAATGAAAAAAACGACATTTTTTTTTCTCTTTAGTTTTTAATTAAAACAATTATTATATTCAAAATAAGCGTATTATTCTGCTTCTTTTGAGTACCAGGACGGATGAGTAATATTGTGGAAATTTGTTTTCTTAAAAAAAGCGTATTATTCTGCTTCTTTTGAGTACCAATGACGGATCCTAATATTGTGGAAATTTGTTTTCTTCTAAACTATATCAGTTTAGATTCGCAGCTCAGGCATCGATTACATCGATTTACATCGATTCGCAGCTCAGGCAAATCAAATTTCAAAAATTTTTGAAATCGATCCACCCTATTGGATAACCTAATCATTATCATATTAAGAAAAATTTTTTAAAATTTATCCGATAATGATTATAATATTTTAGTTTAGCTAAAGTCCATACAACTGAAGAAATATCAGAAATATATAAAATGAAAATTAAAAAATATCAAGCAAGATCAGAAGAACATAAGCTTTCTGTAATTGAGCAAAATATTTCAGAATTGTTTTAAAAGTGAGTTTAGTCTTGTTGTTGATATGCCAATGCATGGCTATGGTTCCTCAAACACAGGAAATAAAGCACAAAGAGTATTTGAGAATGCAGATACTTTTGCAGACATTACCGGAGTTGATGTTAAAATTATTTTTAGAAATATTATGAAAGCTGTATGCAGTGGGTCCATCTTGATTTGGAGGTCTTTAAAAAGTTTTGTTTAGACAATTCTGAAATAATTGTTGAAAAATTAAAGTTATTCATCATGTATTTATTTTCATGGCGACGCTTAAACGCAAGTTCGTTTCGCTTATTTAGTAAAGGCAATGGGGATGAAATTATATTGTATTTTTCCATCAAGCATAAGTTGCATGACTTACCACCAGGTTTAAACGGTTCAGCCTGGTCTAAAATTTTCCACGAAAGGACAGGATTTAAACCTTTCTTTTTAACATTCCACACCAATTTAGAAAGTTTGGTAAAGTTTGACCCACTTTTATAACAAAGGAATTTTTATGCTAGTGAAAGCGATCTTTAAAAGTTTTTTTCTGTAAGCCCAATATAATAGCTACCTTCATCTTGCAGGTTTGTCTTAATATTACATTAATAGATGAGATTTTTAATTAAACATTTTCCGTTAAGTGGACATAAATTAATCTATCGGCAATTGCACGTTGGAGCATTAAAGTTTGAAGAATTTGATAAAATTTTATTGTTATGTGAACTGACGATGTTGCGAATATTTGGAAGACAGCTATAGCTAACCTCCAGATTGTTTCGGTTAAACAGTTTATGGAATTTATGAGATTTTGGAAAGTTTTTATCGATTAAGTTTAGGAAAAGTTTTGCTACGTTTGTCTTGACATTAATTGAAAACGGAGGGCTAAACCAAATAATATTTCATGGACGTGATTTTGCAACTTTTATAGAGTCGTTGGCAACGGCAGTAATAATTTCTTTAAATCCACCAGACTTTGGGGCACTATTGTAAAATATAGCAGCTCGATAAAAAACTTCATTACTTGAGGATATACTTCTTATACGGTTAGATATCATAAAGGGAATAGCTTTAAGAATGTTTGGAGGATGGTTCGAATTAACATTGATATATAATGGGATGTCACCTATATGGCTGGTATGGGATGTTTTTTATATGGCTGATAACAATTGTCAGACAAGTTGAGAGAAATGTTAAGAAAGTTAACAGTTTTTAAGTTATATTTTATTGTTATGTTTAGTTTGAATTTTTCTTTAAAAAGAATGATAAGGTTTTCCTTTATTATTTCCGATTGCGGTCCACTAATACATTACAGCAAAGCCCGTCATCTCTATATAAACCGTTCGTACTTAATCCGTATTTTTTGCTGATGGTATATAAAATAAAAAGGCCTACCTGTTCACACAACTCAGCTCCATCAAAGCTTTCCATCGTCACGTTAAAATAGGAATCTCCTGATTTTTTAACCCACATATTATTTCTTGTACAAAGTAAGGATTTTCAAGAATGGTAAACAATATCAGTTGTCTTATCTGTAATTTGATCAAAATTTTAGGCTTGAACTAAAGAATCGTAAAGAAGCTGTTTAGAAATGGAAAGATAAAAATCAACAATTTCGTATTGAACAAAAACACTGATTTTTTTTTTGTCATTGATGTCATGGAACCATTTTAAAACGTCATTTGCACTATGCCATTGATGCAAAAGCTACGCTTGTCCATCAATGACATAGTGCAAATGACAAATAAAAATGTTTAATTAGTTAATTAAAAATGTCATCTGTTTAATTAAAAATTGTTTAATTAAAAATGTCATCTATTTATCTAATATTAAAACAAACCCGCAAGATGAAGGTAGCTATTATATTGGGCTTACAGAAAAAAACTTTTAAAGATCGCTTTTACAAGCATAAAAATTCCTTTCGTTATGAAAATAGGTCAAACGTTACCAAACTTTCTAAATTTGTGTGGAATGTTAAAAAGAAAGGTTTAAATCCTGTCCTTTCGTGGAAAATTTTAGACCAGGCTGAACCGTTTAAACCTGGTGGTAAGTCATGCAACTTATGATTAATGGAAAAATACCATATAATTTCATCCCAATTACCTTTACTAAATAAGTGAAACGAACTTACTAAAAAACGAACTAAGTGTCGCCGTGAAAATAAATACAAGATGAATATCTTTAATGGCATCAAAGAGGACACTCCACAGTATTTTTGATAAATATTTTTTTGTCGTTATTTTTAAGATTTGTAACACCTGATCGCTGTTTGCGTGAAACTCTGAGTAATGTTTTAAATAAATTGAGTGTTATAATTATTTAGTTTTTACTATATATTTCTCTACTTTGGTACAAGAAATATTTACACTACCTACTACTTATATTTATAAAATTTATATATAATTAATAATAATGATAAACTGGCAGTCAAATTAAATAGATAAGTTTATAGCATATTGTGAAGTTTGTTTATTAAGTGAGGAACTTACCTATTTAATGTGGAGGGCTTCTTTTATCTTTATTTTGTGTTTGGTTGGGGCATTATCCAAAATCTCAAAAGAATCACAGTTAACCAGATTTTTGCAATTAACAGATAAATTTAAGTGTTTAAATATATGAGATTGTTTATCACTTTTAAGGTGCTCATTTATTTTAGTTGCCAAATGTCTAGAGATTTCTCCAATATAACTAGCATTATAGCCATCGCAAGAAAATTTATAGACAACATGAGATTTAAGCAACTTAGGAAGTGGCTTCTTTAAACAAAAACAATCTTGTATTTTATTAGTAGTGAAAATTAATTTTATTAAAACATCCTTGCAATATTTATGAACAATTTTTGAAATTTTCATATTAGTATAATTAGAGTACATTTCAATGTATAGAAGCTTAAAGTATCTTATATTTAAGCTATTAACAATGTTAGAAACAGGTGGGTTCATTTTCTTATCAATATAGGATTTAATTTCAGAGTCAATAATTTTTTGTGGAAATTTATTATTTTGTAAAAGTCATGATAGATTCTTAATATCTTTATCAAAACCAACCCAAGTATTATTAATTTTAAATGTACGATGAATCAAACAACGAACTACAAATTTGTAAAGTCCAAATTTGTAGCAAGAAGGAATAAAACTCAAAAAATTTTAATAATGAATTGCATTTTTTAATAAGTACATCTGGTTATCTTGTTCTTTTTCCATAGTAAATTTCAAATTTTTATGTTGTTTATTGAGGTGTTTGAAAAATTCTTGAGCTTCATATTCAAAATTAAAAATGACAATTATATCATCCACATACCGTTTATAAAATAATGGTGCTGTAGAGGAGCAGTTATTGATCCATGTTTGTTTATGAAATCCGAAAAAAATATTAGCTAAGATGGGCGCTAAAGGAGAACCCATAGCAACACCATCCGTTTGATCGTAATATTTTCCGTTAAATAAAAAATGTGACCCGGATGTAGAAATCTAAAGTAATTTTTTAAACTGAATTTTTGAAAATCGTTTTGAGTTAATTTTATCTTTAAAAAATAAATCAGTTGCTATGTTAATGGATTCCTTAAGTGGAATATTCGTGAACAAACTTTCAACATCATATGAAACGATAAACTTATTAGCTAGATTAATTTGTTTTAATTCTTCACTTAACAGTCCCTCACTTAATAAACACACTTCACAATATGTTATAAACTTATCTATTTAATTTTACTGTCAGTGTATCATTATTACTAAGTTTTTTTTTTTTTTTTTTTTTTGACAGTTAGTTACTTTGATTGGTTATTTACCGAGTTATTTTCTAATAAATATATTGGTTCATTATATAAATTTTTGTCCGTTATTATATATATATATATATATATATATATATATATATATATATATATATATATATATATATATATATATATATATATATATATATATATATATATATATATATATATGTATATATATATATATATATATATATATATATATATATATATATATATATATATATATATATATATATATATATATATATATATATATATATATATATATATATATATATATATATATATAATAGCGTAGGAAGGTCCAAAAATTGGGGGATTTTTGGATCTTAGAAATAAACAAACTTAAAAACAAATAAAAATTTCATTAATTATTCTCAAAAATATAGTTTGTTTATTAAGCGCAAAAAGATACTCGTTATACTCATAAAACACGTTATAAAAATTATGCAAAAGATATTTTTCAGTTAGTACATAAGTATATGTTCTAAATTAACAAAGTAATTATTATTTTTACATACTTTTGAAAATTGACTTTTGGCCACATTTTTGCCATTTGGACTCATAGTGCGGCGCCCCTATTGAATTAAATTTAAATCTTTAATGGTACATTTATTAAGTAGCCAATGTAATAGTTACAAATTTTAAGTTTACATGATCATTATGGTTATATCTTCCCTTATATAAAAATTACTCTAGAGTCATATAGTCGGTATTCAGCATTTTTGTAGATACAAACAAATTCATTTATATTTAGTTGGCTCAAATTGCTGTCGAAGAAAAGTGTTCAATATACAAAGAATTGTTTATTATTGACGAAACACTCAGTAAAGAGTCACATGTTATTGTCAAGTTGAAGGGATTAAAAGCGCTAATAAAGTTCAGCAAAAAAAAGGAAATGGAAGATTTAACTGCGTACTTCAATTCTATGAAAAATCAGAAACCAATAGGTAGAATTCTATTTCATCATAGCTGCTGAAGAACATTTGTAGATAATAGAACTCTGTACACACAAAAAAAATCTAAATTGTTACAATCTTTGGTAACATCTTTTAATTCTTTTGACTGAAAAAAAGATTGTTTTGTTTGCGAAAAAATGATGACAATAAACGAAGCCTTTGTGAAAAATTTATTAAACGTTGTTTAGAAAGAAATGATGCGTGGGGAAAAACAGTAATCGGACGTATAGAAATTTGCATCGATTTCGTCGCGGTAAATGCTGTCTACCATAACACATTAATGACAAAATTTAGACTGCACGTGCCTTCTGAAAATATATAAGGAAGACCCCTTGACCTATCTATGTCAGAATTGTTTAAAAAAAATTTTTAATTGGTTAGAAGAGAACGCAGATAGTGAGTTATACACATTGAAGGAGCTTCATGAGAAAATCTTAAAGAAAATGTTGAAAATATATATTCAATCAAATGGATTTAAACGAAGTTAAAAGGTTATAACAGTAACCATATATTCTTTGGTAAGTTATTAGGTCGAGCAGATTTGGTTTGTTTTAAAGATATGGCATTTTATCTTATTAATAAAATGAAGAAGACGACAATAAAAACAGTTGATGATCTAGTTAAAGCAGCAGCAAAGATTATTAAATCAGATATAGGGGAAATCCCTTGTATTAAAGATGAATATCCTACTGCAGATGATATAGTTAATTGCAACGATGATCCGAAAAGATGAGTTCCAAGTAGCTTAATGACATTTCTTCAACTGCTGATTTCATCCAAACTAAAACAAATAACAACAACAATAACTACATTTTTCAAAACTTGCATATAATCATATAATAACAATAATGATAATATTATCTATAATAATACAAACAATATAATTATAATAAAATATAACTAATAAGAATAAATAAAAATTACTTTTTGAAAAGGAAGGTATCACTCAAACAGAAGCCTGATCAAAGGAGTGACGCCAAATAATTAAAACACTAATAATTAAAAAATAATAATATTATCTATATTAATACAAATAATATGATGACATGAGTGTCACTCGTTATCAAAATGAGTGAAAACCAATTAATTGTAACAATAAGCATAATAATAAAATAATAATAAAAATAACAAATATGAACCGAAAATCGCTAAGAAAAACCTAAAACAAAAAATTTACAACAAAGATTACAAACAAAACATAAAGTTACGGCTGATTAAATTATTACGTTTTGTACTTTTGGTACAAAAGGTTTACGTTATTATTTTAATAAAATTACGGCTGATTACATAATAATGTAATCAGTTGTAATTTTATTAAAATAATAACGTATAACCTTTATAACGTAAAATCTCTAATACAAAAACTGAATATACACCAGTCCAGCAGTTACGTCATCGCTCTTGCAATGACGTAAACACAGTTGTAGAAAAAAAAAAAAGTTTAACGAATATAACAACCGTAATATTTATAATAATAAGTACTATTTTTAGAAATTTATTACACAATTAATTATTAAATTAATTATAAAAATAAAACAAATAAGAATTAATATGGTTTGTTAAATATAAATTTAAAATATTCAAAAATTAAAATAATGCATTTAAATACCGATAGCAATGACAACAATATTAACAATAGTTATAGCAATAACATTTATTAATATTAACAATAAATATAATATTAGCAATTATAAAAAATAATTATAGCAATAATAATTAATAAACTAAGCGACAATTATTACAATAAAAAAGTAATAACATAATATTAAAAAGTCAATATTAATTTTCAAACAACAATTTAATATATAAGTTCAGACGGGAGATGTTACAAACAATATATACTGACAAAATGTAACAGCCTACCACTCGGTACAAACATTTATTGTAAAAAAATAATTTATAATATTAAAAGAAACTAAACCTTTTCACCCAAGAATATGACATTATAATGACATATATGAGAGTATAATAAAAATAAATGAGAATATAAACATCGCACAAGACAATATAATCAATGCACAAAAATATATGACAATACTAAACAAATAAACACAAGATACAACAATACTTAACTTGACAATACTAAACAGAGACACAATAACCAACTAAAACATCGAAAAACTTACAATTATAATAAATAAAAATAATAATAGTAGTTGAACAATAACGCAACAGCCAAACAAACAGTAAACTATAATAAAGATATTAAAGAAAGTTATAAAATCAGACAAAAGGAGTAAAAAAACTAATCAAAGTTAAGAGAAATATAAATTTAAAAAATATAATAACAATAATAAAAGTAAATATTTAATATAATTTATCAAAATATGCAATCTAGTAATAAATTGTAGTAATATAAATAAAAAAATATAATAGATACAAATAAGAACTATAAAATTATCTACTCTTTTAATAAACTGATCTTTTCTTCGTATCTTCTTTTTAAATTATCAACTTAAGTTGATAATTTAATAAGAAGATTAGTATTAACTCTTTTTTTTTAACTATTTTTTTTTTTCTTTTTTTTTTTTTTTTTATTAAGTAAAAAATCGATGTTCGAGTTTTCTTTTATTTGTTTTTGTAAATGTTCTTGTTGAGTGTTTATTTGTTAAAAGTTTCTTTTTTTTATAATATGTTTTTTTTTTGTTTTTTTTCCCACTCTTTTCTTTTGACATCGTATATCTTAGATCCAAAATTCTTCGTTTTTATGACAATTCAGTTCTTAAATTGTTCATTTGTGTGGGATCGACAACATGGTATCCTTCCTACTATACTTTACAACTACTTTAATAATAGAACAACATGTGGGCATAACCTAAGATCAGTCACTTATAACAACTTAACTCTCCCACTAAAACAGACAAATAAACATGGAATTAATTCCATTACATACTAATGTATCCTTTCTTGGAATTCTCTTCCGAACACCCTAAAATCAGGTCTCATCTTTAGGTTCAAGAATCTGTTCATAAAGTCACTCCATCATTTCTACCTAAAAGGTTACGCTTAACTTTAATTTTTAATTTTTTACTTTCTACCTTTTGACTTATTTTTTTATTTTTATTATAGTTTATTGTTTTATTATAATTTTATTTTTAATATTCTATTTTAAATAAATATTTTTATTATAATTACTTATTTTATTATAATTTTTGTTTAAGTATATGTGCATATATATGTGCATATGTACATTATATTAGTTGTTATATATATTAAAAAGTCTGATTTTTTTGGTATAATTAAATAAATTTTTATGCAATTTTACTTTTATCAGTTAATATTATGTTTTTTTATTTAACTTAACTTCCTTTTATAACCTACTTTTTTATGTGGCTTTACATATTACATAATATTATTATTGTTATTATTATTTTTTATCTTATTTAGGTCATTGCGCTTTATTAGTAAATCACTATTTGCAATGAGCTGTGTTTTTGTAACATCTGTAACAAAAAATATATTGTTATTATTGTTTATTGTTGTTGTTTTGAATTCTTTATTTGAAACAATTGATAATTAACTCTTTTTAATTGCCTTTCTTTATTTTCTTTTTTCTTTTATTTCAACAGTTAAAAAAACACGACAGCCATCTGCGATGACCTTGCAAAGTTGAATAAGTATTGGGCATAGCATATATTATAATATATACAAATAAGTATTGGACAATGTATTGTGCAAGCTTAAAGCTTAAATCAACAATATTCCCAATTCCATTTTGAATCGGTTTTCAAAAAGACAAATCTTTTGGTTCCAAGTGGCTAGTTGATCATCTTTCAAAATTTGGGTTTTCTATTACATCAGATGAAATCCTTTCCTTCAAACGATCTGCCATTGAAACAAATGACTCAGTTAATCTACAAAAAAGGCTGCCACCTGTTGTTCAGTGGGTTGCTGATAATGTAGACCACAATACTGTCACACTATCTGGAAAAGACACATTTCACGGGATGGGTGTCATATCGGTTAGCTCGGTATCTGGATGCCAAAAAAGATCTATAAAACGTTTAAAAAAAAAGAAAACATCTGATTTAGTTACAAAATTTAAACTTTAAAGAGAAATGGTATCTCCGATTACACTTCTCAAGAAATTAAATTTTGACTTGTTACGGCAAGGTGGCTGATTCTTCAGTTCAACTGAGAACCTGCGCCAAAACTGGTCAGGTTTTATGCAACTAAAAATTGATACAAAGATTTGCCAGCAAAAATCATTAGTTTCGTTCCTTCCAATAAATGATCTCAATTCTTCTGATGAAACATACATTTACTCTACCCTTAGTTTTGTTATAAATCAGGTTGAAAAATTAAACATGCCAATACCTTGCGTAACTTTTGACCAACCGTTATGGATAAAAGCGAAAGCAATCATTAAAGAAGAAAAATTAAATATAGTATGCAGATTGGGTGGATTTCATACCATAATGAGTTACATTGAAAGCATTGGTAAACCTATGAGAGAATCTGGCTTGGAGGAGTTGTATGAGATATACGCAGAAAATAGTATCATACACATGATGTCCGGAAAAGCTATTGCAAGGTCGCTTTAGGCGCACATTTTAGCAGAAAGTGCCCTTAAAATAATATATTGTAGGATATCCTTTTTAATGACGGAGAGATTAATCTTTCTTCGTTTTAACCTATTTTTGAAAAAGAAATTAAAAATACTTCAACTGAAGAAGAAGTTGAGAAGTTTGTTGAAACAGAACAATTTATCAACGTTTCAAGTAAAGTAGACAATTTCATCAAATCTCTGAAATCACAATTTAGAACTGCAGAACTATGGCTTCAATATATCGAATATGTATCAATCTTAAAAAACTTCATTATTGCAGAGAGAACATCAAATTGGTCTCTTCACTTACATACAACTAAGCTTATGTTAAAATGGTTTGCTGCAACTAGGCACATAAACTACGCCAATTTATGTTTAAGAAATGGAACACTGGTGTCTCAAAAGTTCTTGGTTTAGTGACTGCTTTTATAATGGATCTCATGCTGTAAGATAGAACCTAATTGTAATTGGGCGGGACTTTGATCTGATTTAATAATAGAAAAAACATTAATGCGTTCTGTAAAAGGTAGAGGTGGCTTAACTCAAGGACGTGGGCTAACAGAAAGTGTCAGAACTCTTTGGGTACTTAGTTTAAACTCCAGTGCTGCTATGCACAAAGCCATGACAACTCTAATAGGATGTGATATAGAAACAAGCAAACAACACAAAGATATCGGGTTAGCAAGACGTGCAAGGGATTTTTTAGACTGCGAAAAATTTGTAAAAGGGGTTAAGGAGACGAAATCCGTTTATATATCAAGACTCAAACTTGCATTATCTATCAACAAGTCTTGTCTATATTATCGGAAAAGATGTTATAAGTTGTGAAAAATCTGAGGAAATTGGATTAATGATTCATAACAAGTTAGACAATTTAGTTATCACCAATGCTAAAATCAAACGTCGAGACCGATTAAAACCACTGAATGCATTTTATAATGAAATAAAACTGAAGGAAGGCAGCTCTATGCATGTTAACCCAACCATTCTTTTCGCAAGACTTGCTGCAATTTCTCTAACAGAAGGAAATGTTGAAGTTTAAGTTATGAGTTGACTACACCTCCTGCATTATTTAAAAACGGATTGATGAGGAAACCACTGCAGAAATTACTTTTACCTAAAGAGGCTCAATACAAAGTAGATGAAAAAAAAGCAAAGTTTATCAGGTTTATTTATTTATAATCGATGGGGGAGCTTTGATAAATCGAGTAAGGTGGGTAAATGGGTCAAATTTCGGCGATATTTACGTTGTACTTAACATACATCAAACTTAAATTATGGTGTAGTAAGTGTCGTGTTTGATGGATATTAAACCTTTTTAACTAAATCAAATGAGCATGCTAGAAGACAACAAGGAAATAATTCTCATCTGATCAATGTCCATGTTTATAATACATTGCTGTTTGGCCAGGGGCGCTTTTTATTATCCCAACAAAACAAAGTAGAGTTCATTAAACTGCTTGAAAAACCGAAGAATCTTATTACTTTTTGTAATTTTGTATAACTTGTTTCATAGAAATAATAAACTATATTCTCTAAACAAATTGTTTTTAACCTATAGTTTTTATATTAATATGAATCAGC